GTTTACTCCATACGCTGACAGGCCTCCTTTCTCCCCCGCCTTTCCTCCTCTGTCCACCCAGCTCCTGGTCCCAGAGAGCAGGTATGTGTGGCTCGGCTCTGAGTGCCACTCCCCACATGCCATCTGTCCCCCAGACTTTGCCATGTTCCCAGGGTCTCTTTTACTTTACTCTAAGCTGCACTTGTCCGCCCACTGGTCCTGTCTGCTTGCGTGCCTCGGTCACCGGGCTTGTTGGGGACTGCGGTGCCACGGCAGCCCCTAGGTGGGAGCAGCACACCCATGTCGCACCACGAGCCCCCACCTGGCTCCGACTGTGGCACAAGCAGCCCGTCACCCAGTGTTTGTGACGCAGGGATTTTGTTCACCTGGGCTGGCGATACAGGAAGTCTTCCCAATTTTTGTTCTGTTTTAAGGATTTTATTTATTTATTTGACAGACAGAGATCACAAGTAGGCAGAGAGGCAGAGAGAGAGGAGGAAGCAGACTCCCCGCTGAGCAGAGAGCCCGAAGTGGGGCTCGATCCCAGGACTCTGGGATCATGACCTGAGCAGAAGGCAGAGGCTTTAACTCACTGAACCACCCGGGTGCCCCGGAAGTCTTCCCAATTTGACCTCTGATGTGGTGGTAACAGATGGCTGTGAAGCATTGTGTTTCTTTAATGCCACCCTTCTTCAGATTACTGGTCTGTATTCAAGGCCCTCAGCACGTGTCCGGGGGCTCCCCACCAGCACACTCGAGGTGTAGATGTGAGTCTGATCCCCACCAGGGCCCCAGCTCTGTGTCACCTCACAGAGGTGAGTCTCCGAATCGTGGGCAGTGGTGAGTGCATGTGGCAGGTGACCCACAGGCTGTCCTGTTTGTGTGAGAATTCCCGAGCACGGCCTCAGCGGGCCTGTTCCAGTCAAAACTCAGCATCAGACGGAACTCAGGCCTCTGCCCTGTGCTTTGTGCGTACATCTTCTGGAAGTTCCCATTCCGTGCAAGCTCTGCAGCACTCAGCCTCCTCCTGACACGACCCGAACTGTGCTCCTCCGTGAGCCCTAGATTCGAGCCACCCAGATGGTGGGCTGCCCCGGGTCTGCTCTATGCCTGGAAGAGTCTTGCCATCCACACCTGGGTCTGACAGATCCTCCCCGTGTTCGAAGGCCCAGGTCAAGTGCCCCCCGACATGCTGACATGGGGGACTGCAGGTGAACGGCAGAGGGAGGAGTGAGATGGGGGCCACTGAGAACTGAGAAAGAGGCAGGGTTGTTCACACAGCAGCAGCGTGGAAGAGATCAGGATTCCTGGGCCAAATTCCGCCGTGGTGAGGGGTTCCCCCAGAGCACCCTGCAAGTCTCAGCTGCCACTCAGATACCGTCTGGGTGCTGGACAATTCAACTCAATTCTTTTTTTTTTTCCTCTTTCTTTCTTTCTTTGTTTCTTTCTTTTTCTTTTTTTTACTGAAGTACAGTTGATGTCTGATGTTGTATTAGCTTCAGGTGTACAACATAGTGACTTAACACTTCTGTCTACAGCTTTGTGCTCAACATGACCAACTCAGTCCTGACACCATCCACCCAGAGACAGCGGCAGGTCCCACGGATTAGGGGCTCGGCCCCACCCAACCGCCCCCACCCCAGACGCCAGGCCCCGGTCCTGTGCTTCTGACCACAGGCCACAGAGCAGAGGCTTCCTTGTCCTCTGGCACACTACGAATCCAAGTTATTGTTTTAGAAGATTCTACCTGAAATCATATTGCCATCACTTAATTTTAAGACTGTGCCCAGGTGGGTCATGGAACTCCTTCCTAGGGCAGAACAGACCCGCGAGGCAGGCATCTGCATAATCTTTTCATAACTATTGAGAAGGTGGCGTTAGTGAGCAGCTCTGATGACCTTGCGCGCCCTCAGACTCGCACTGCGTTTAGCAGGTCTGTGGCTGGGCGTCCGCCCCCGCCACGTCCATGCTTGCAGGCGGGCCCGACACTGACGCAGCCCTCAAGGCGGAGACTCAGCACAGGCATTTGCTTTCCGTGAGCTGATGACCAACGGTGGCCTTTGTCATTCAGCCAGGTGAAGCAGACAGGGAAGAGCAGGGGGACTCCGGGCGCCCGGGCGTGGGCAGGAGACCCCTACGAGACTTCGTCGGGCTAGAGGACTGCGATAAGGCCACGCGGGACGCCATGCTTCTCTTCAGTCTGTTTGTCACCGTCGGGGACATGGATGAGGCCTTCAAGTCCATCAAACTCATCAAAAGGTGAGGACTCTGCTCCCAGAGGTGTCAGGGGGATGTGCGTGGCTCTGGGGTCTGTCTTTAGGGCGCTCTCCCCTTCCCAGTGAGGTTTTGAGGATCAGTAACTCTTCTGTGACTGTGTCATGGCGTATCTCATGGTTTGTCACCCACGGAAACGCCGCCACACTTGGGGATGCTGGGACCCCCCGGCGCGCTGTCACAGAGCAGGTTTATTATGGCAGCACCACGGGGTGCACAGAGCAAGTGAGCCCGGCTCGCCTCCGCGGGGCTCCTGGGCTCTTGGGCTGCTGTTAGCTTGCTTTTTTTCTTTTTTTTAAGATTTTATTTATTTATTTGACAAGGAAAGACGCAGCAAGAGAGAGGGAACACAAGCAGGGGGAGTGGGAGAGGGAGGAGCAGGCTGCCGGCTGAGCGAGGAGCCCGATGCAGGCTGATCCCAGGACCCTGGGGTCAGGACCTGAGCCGAAGGCAGATAAACGACTGAGCCACCCAGATGCTCCTACTAGCTTGCTTTACCAGAGAGTGTTCACTGTTCTTCCTAGTCGAAAGTTCTGCAGTTGCTAAATATTTGTAATGCCTGTTCCTCTGGGAATAAGTGCTACCAGACAGGAAGGTTTGAGTAACAAACACTCGAAACAGTATAGTGAAGATGCAATTAATGTTGCTGTAAAAGAAACTTTTTTAAAAGAAAGTTTTTAAAGATTGTTTTTTGAAAGATGTTTATTTGAGAGAGAGAGAATGAGTAGGGGTGGGGCAGAGGGAGAAGCTGGAGCCTGATGCAGGACGCGATCCCAGGACCTCGAGATCATGACCTGACTAAAGGCAGACGCTTAACCGAGCCACCCGGGCGCCCCTGTTTATTTATTTTAGACGGAGAGAGAAAAAGCACGCATGTGCATGGGAGAGGGAGAGGGAAACCAGACTCCCCACTCCGTGCGGAGCCACACGCGGGTCAAATCCCAGGACCCTGGAGCTCACTGCCTGAGCTCAACTGACTGTGCCACCCAGACACCCGTTTTCTAAAAGAAATTCTTGCTCAAGGGCTGTCTGCGAGTAGCCTCCTGTCTATACCTTAGAGAATTCAGCAGTTCTCAAGAGTATTTGGCAGGTTTTAATCTCCAAAGGATAGGAAAATTATTGCAGAATGAAACTAAAATGGAAAAAAAAGATGGAAAATTCAAGTCACCTGAAACAGGCCCCCCTCCAGGCCCGCCATAGAATACCGCACAGCGAAGGTTTCTGTAACGTAGAAGCACCTTTCAAAATAGCACACGAGCCCTAGTCCCTTGTCTAATTTCTAATACAGCGAGGCCAGACTTTGTGAAGGAAGAGCCTTTTGCACACTGGCTGTGGATGTGCATGAAGAGCGTTCTTGGTTTGGGGGGTGAACCGGAGCCTGGAGGGCACGGACCAGCCTTGCTCTGGTCACCTGTCACTTAATATAAACACAGTCACAGACCGTGATCGACCACAGGGTCAACTTGGATACTTCCACATACCCTTACATGGTTGTATGTGTAATATAGTGAAGCTGTAGATCTTAAATATTTTATTGCTTTTTTGGAAGACTGTTATTTCTAGCATGTGATTTGGGGTCGGGGGGAGTCCTTTGCAGACAGTAGCTCAGAGGTTCGAGGAAGGTCAGACTTGAATGTTGCCATGAGTGTGCTGGTATCAGACATGATCTGGTTCTTTCTACAGTGTGTGATGAGTTTATTATAAATGGTCAGGCTATAGATGCTTTTTTGGTCATTCTCAGTTGCTTTTTTTGTTTTTTTAAAGATTTTATTTATTTGAGAGCGAGAGCAAGGGGAGAGAAAGCAAGAGGAGGGGGGAGAGGAGGAAGCCAGCTTCCCGCCAAACAAGGAACCTGATGCGGGACTCCATCCTGGGACCCCGAGATCATGACCTGAGCCAAAGGCAGACGCTTAACTGACTGAGCCCCGCAGGCGCCCCCAGCTTTATGTTTTCTAAAGCACCAACCCCAATCCACTGTTTGTTCTTCCTGGAGACAAACCGCACGCTGATCTCCACACTCTCTGGAAGGTCGAAAGCAGCAAGGCCGAACGTTTCTTAGCGGGAGGCAGCCTCATGTCGGGGAGGCAGCCCGCTGGCCTAGGGCGGACCGGCATTGCATGCTACCCACGGCCCTTGTCAGTGTCATAGGAATCGCTGCCACCAGGTGGCGCGGGGTCAAGCAGTGCAGTGTCCAGGGAGCGCTGGGGGAAGGTGCGGGTGGCAGAAGGTCCTTGCAGGTGTGGTCAGCCAGTCTGGGGTTCTCGGGGGTGGTGCCAGGTCTGAACCCCTCCCATGCAGCTTTGATGTTTTCTGTTCCCCCTGGGGTGTTACTGCTGATTCACCTCGCCCAGATGTGGGACGGGGCTGTTTGGAATCAGTGTGGTATCGTCAAGGCCATCGGTAGCCCACCCGGCATCTGGCTGGAGCTAGGGTGAAGATTTTTGTAGGGAAAAACCTAAAGCAATCTCTGTGAATTGTCTTTTAAACAAATAGACCTTTTTTTTCCCTCTTACTCTGCCAATGGTTGGTCGGCCGTCTCGCAGCCACAGTGCTTGATCTGTGACGTGGGCTCAGAGACTCGGTTGAATGGAAGTGTGAGTAAGGGCCCACAGCCGTGTTCCCGCCAGGTCCTGAAAACGTTTCAAGCCTTCTCTTGCCGCCAACCCACAAAAATGACAGAAAAATCGACCAACTTCTTTTCACCCACGTGGCAGTGCAGCGGATAAAACACAAGTTTTACACAGTGGTGAGAAGTTTGCATTTTATTTTAACTTAAAAAATTAATCAGGAGCAAAACAGGCATGAGGAACACAGTCCTGTCAGAAAGCCCGTAACCGTCTGGTTGTAAATTGAGGCACTCGAGGAAGACCACAGACCGTTCCAGAAAATCTTCCCGGGTATCCTGCTTTCCCAAAGTAACTACGACCGAGGACCCGCTCCTCAGCAGACACAGAATAAATTAATCCTAGGCCGAGGTGCCGGGCGAGCTGGCCGCCACCGTCTGTGCACGTTGGCCGCGGTCTCCTCCTGGGAGCGTGCGCAGAAGTGAAGCCGAGTCGTGGGTGCGTCAGAGGAGGGGGCGCAGGCGGTGTATGACCGCACGATATACGTATATGTGACGTAGTAAACGTAGCCGGGTATCGTACATGTGTATATAGCAGACCCCGCGCATCACCCGCACAGACAGCCCTTGGGCTCCCGCCCCGTCTAGTCACAGCGACAGAGTCCCGAGCAGGCTCAGCACGGCGACTCCACATACTCGTTGTCCAGCCCACGGCGGAACCGCGCGGTCAGGGAGCGGCTGATGACGATCACCCGGGGCCCGATGCAGTCCTCTCTCCTGTGAAGAATGTTCCAGATGAGCATGGCAGCTGCCAGGGTGGCCAGAAGGCAGGCGCCGATGTTCAGATAGCAAGACCAGGACAGGTTGGTGTATGGGCCGATTCTGTAGAATGTCACCAGCCCAATGACCAGGACAAAACCTGCAACCGAGAGACAAGTGTTGAGACAGCCTTACTCAGAGCCAGAAGAGGACTGGAAATGGGCTGTGGAGCCCCCAGAAGCGCAGCGCCCCGCTCCCCTCCGCCGCCCCCTTCCTCCCCGCTACGTCCGCCTCGGGGTGGGAGCCCGAGTCCTGAGCGGCCCTTCGGTGTCGAGCTGCTTTGTTGGCCTCTGGGCACTTCTGTGACCTTTGGGGGGCTGCAGAGGGACAATGCGTGTCTACTTAATGCCTGGGGGGCTCCCCAAGAAAGCAGCCTGGTCCCCACGCACGTGTCCTTTGGTCTCCAGGGCTGGGCCAGTCCCAGCCACCCTGCCCGTGGAGGTAACGCTGCTGCTGCCTGGCCCTCGCCCCCCGACAGAGCCAGCCTCTCCTCTGCCGAGCGCCTCGCCGGCCCACAGAAGCGCTTCGTTCGTTCAAGTGAAGGGAGACGCAGAAGCTGTCTAACTCGCCTCCAGGAACAGCTCACGTCGGTGACTAACTCAGTCCTGCGTTAGCGGTTTTCTTGTTCTCCGTGTCCGCTTCTAGAGGAGCTAGAGGTTTTCTTCAAACTCCAGAACTCCGGATGCTCCACGCCTACGTGCTCCGCGGCGGAGTCGGGGACTGCGGACAGGCCTGCGGACACGGCCCATTCTGCTGTTGCCTCCCCTCGCCTCCACACCCTGCACCTGGTCCTGGGGGTCCCCGTGCACCCCCACACCCCTCCTCCTGCTCACTCCCCCCCACAGCCTTCTCTCCTGAGTGTGGACAGAGCCCCACGCGGACCTGACGCTGTCGGTGTCACTTCCTCTCACGGCTTGTCAGTTCTCGCGGTAGGAAAACCAGGGTTCCGTGCCTGGGACCTGTCGCCCAGGATAACCGGGCACTGATGTCTGCTAGAGCTCAGGGCTGAGTCTGGGCTGGGAGCCCCAACAGGGACAGAGGAGAGGCCGCGCTGTGCTCTGCCTGGGAGGCTGGTCCAGTCCAGCCTCCGGGAGGGGCCGGATGAGGCAGATGAGGCAGGAAGGCGTCACAGTGCTGAGCGGGGGCCGCGTCTGGCTGGGCTGAGGGGCCCAGGTGGTGGCAGGGGCCCAGGCAGCCCCGAGCTCTTCTCCAGCAGCACCTGCCGTCCATGTGGTGAGCTGAGGGGAGCTGTTTCCTGGAACCCAAAGTGCCTGACGAGGACAGTCTCTCACAGTGGTCGGGATGGAACTCTCTAGCCCCTCCCGGACTCGTCCCTGTCCCCTGCCCTGGGCTCTGGCCAGGCCAGCCTCCCACTGCAGTCCCTCCCCCTGCCCGGTGCTGTGACATCCGTCCGTCTGTTCATGCCGGTCCCTCTGCTCCCCACAGCCTCCCCTGCTTTCCTCAGGAAACCAGATCATGCACGACCCCTGTGGCCCCAGAGCTGAGCCGCGGTAGTGCCAGCTCCTGGTTCTGGAAACTTGTAAATTAGTGCAGGGCGAGGGGCAGGGGCAGGCCTGAGCTCTCCCGAGCATAGGCAGTTTGGTCTCATTGCTGCTGTACCTTCCAGAAAATACGGAAGAAACATTTGTCCCCCTCAGTCATGTGCCAGATGACCGTGGCGGTGACTGATCTCTGTGCTGGTTCTCTGCAGCACGTTACACACAGAACGCTTCTAGGTACCTCCTTTCTGTTAAAAATAATGCATTCTCTTTGTCGTGCACAACTGACAGAAAGAAAATTCTGGCATCTCTCTCTCTCCCAGTGAAGAGTGTGTCCCTTGCTCACAGTTCTGTGGCGCCAAGGTTTGCCTTCCAGCAGAAAGGACTGGGAGTCCATTTTGCGCCATGAAAATGACAATGCTTCTTGTGTCCCCTCATGTTTCTGTGTCTTTGGGCATTTTTTGCCAGGCAAGGGAGCTCGTTTGGCTTGTTTCAGTAGGACTCAGCAGGACGGGGCGGGCGGGGACGACAGGAGAGCCAGCTAGCGTGTGGCCGGTGCCTGAGGTCACAGCAGGGCGGTGCCGGCTAGGGGACAAGTGTTGGCGGTGAGGCTGGTGGGAGCCTTCAGGCAGGGAGCCAGGCGGAGCAGAGAGGGCGGTGCCAGCAGGGTGGCGGTGGAGGCCAGAGCGGCGGGAGGGAACTCCCTGCGACGGCTGCCGTGGTCCACGTCTGTGTTCGCCCTTTGCCAAGCACCCTGGGGGTTTGCTCTGGTTACAGAAACATTTGAAACTCCAACGGGCGGCCTGAGCTCCAGGATTGCAGCACCACTGGCGGCATGGGAGGTATGGGGGCAGAGTGCAGAGGCAAGCCCACGGAGACCCCGTGTGCAGAACTGAATGCACCGTGGGCTCCGGGGAACCTTCACGGTGACAAAGACCATCAGGGGGACAGGGCCTGTCTGCCATGATTTCGTCACTTGGGGTTGGAGCCGCCGCAGGACATGCCGGTTCCCATGCCGTCCTCTAGTTTGCACGCGCGTGTGCTCTGCAGCGTGGCCCGCGCTCCGCAGGAGGGCCTGTCGTGTGTGCTCGGCGGAGGCACGCTTCCCTCGTCCTAGGGGAGCTGGCTTTCTTCTTCCAGAGGTGCAGATGAAATTTATCCCCACAGCGTGGGGCTCCAGGTAACTGAGTCACCCTGGTCCTGTGTGGTGAGCGCAGGGTAGTGGGGACAGGCCCGTGTAGACCCTGCCAGACGGTGTTGGCCGGGCCGTTGACACCAAGAGACCCCCGTGTATGGACACTCAACTCCAGGCAGTGAAAATAGTAACTCATGGGACCAGCGACAAAGTGACGCGCAGAGCAGCCGCCTGCCTCCGGGACCCCACGCCGTGCCGCCGCGCTGTCCCATCCCTGAGTGGCAAGGGTCTCTCGGGCCCATGCGGGGGCTTGGCCACAGGGCAAGATGTGGGACTCTGCCCTATCTATACTGGTCAGTGCCACAGGGTTTCTTAACTGCCTTGTTGCTGGTTTTCCTGAGGTCGGTGTCGTGTATGGGTCTGTCTTTGAACGTAGGGCGGGTTAGTACTTTGTCGCCGTCTTCGTCTGTTTATCCCATTCTACCCCGTGTTTGGCTCTGTGGCCTGCGATGCGCACAAACCCAGGGTGTGGAGCTACTTCTGTGTGGAGAGTCAGATTTGTATATTGAAGATGAAAGAAAGGGCGCTCCGGGGCGGGTCAGTGGGCAGGAGAACGTGAACTCACAGGGGCGCAAACAAGCTGAGCCTCGCGCCCCACGCCCCGCGAGGTGATGGGTCAGTATCAACGCGGAGCCGGACGGACGGAGTTGGAGGGAGTCTGTCGGTCCGGAGCACTGTGGAGTCCTGGCAGGAGCAGCCCCGGCGGGTCTGCAGCCCCGCGGAAGGTGCGTCTCGAGTCTCTGGCCTCACAGGCTGCACCTCACTTGGCTCTTCTCTCCAGGCAAAGTGGAAACGGAAGTCTGGTTCTGTATCCTCACGTGAAAAAAGACTTGAAGAATCCACATGTACGTGACTTACTCTGTGTAAAGGCCCATGTTGGCTTTTACTTGGTTTCAGTTCAACTTAGAACACATATGGTAAGAAAAAGGGCTTGATTCCCCGGCGTTAAGAAAAACGAATGTAGGAGGCTCTCCCGACCAGGAGGATACCAGGAAGCTGCTAGAACAGTGGCACAGGCTCGGGACCGCCTGAGCTGTGGTGGATGTGATGTTGGGCCAGCGCAGGGGCAGATGGACCCCACCCGGGCCACTGCGGGTGGCACGAACTGCACAGATACACGGCACGCGGAGATCTCCGGTGTGTGCCATGTGTCAGCAGTAAAAAGCCGCAGGGACATGGACGGGCACATGGCCTCGCTGGCCGCCTCCAGCCTCTGCCTTGACGCTGGGTAACTGCCGTCGCGTAGACATTCTTCTGAAATCCTGCTCGCTGTGTGCTTCATGGAATTCTGCTGGGGGAGAGGCGAGGGCTCTGGGAGTAGACCCGGGCCAGGCTGGCCTTAAACCTCGGGCCCCCCATCTCTGGCAGGCCCTGCTGTGCAGACCCCCTCAGAATTGTCCCAGAGCCTTCTCGCTCAAGACTTCCCAGTGATGTTCGTGTTTGTCCAGAAACAAACGCAAGCGGAGAGTTTGAGCAAACAGCCCGAATTCTGCATGTGGGGTCAGTCCCATCCTTATGAATTTCTGTTTCAATAAAGCAAACAGCCCCTTCCTGTGAGCGGGCCACGCGGGCGCTGTGAATCACGGCTCAGCCCGCAGCGCGTCCCTTCCCTCTCGCTTCCTTCCTGCCCGCTTCCGAGGGCTCAGGGCCTGTCACAGGGCCTTCCTGCTGGAGTGACGGTCAAGCACGTGCAGGTGGTAGAAGGAGAGACCATGGGGCTGAACCCTGAACCGTCCCACAGCAGACCTGCCTCCCGTGGCACCTGCGACGGCTTCCAGAGAGAGCGTCCACAGAGCGGACTCGTGTGTGGCCCACCTCCAGGCATGGCCGTGGTTGGGGTGTCCCAGCGTCTGTGAGCCGCAACATGATGGGATCCACGTGTTCCTCCCCAGAGGCAGGGATTCTGGGCAAGGAAAAGCTAAACGTACAGCGGATCTGGTCCCGTTTCCGTGGAGCTGAGCTCCCGCGTGGCGCCTGACATGCTGTCACTCCGAGCAGCTCGGAGGACATGGATGTGAAGGGAAAACATGGGGCGCGGCCTGGGTGCGGACCAGCGCCAGGGAAGCAGGTGCCAGAGACAGAAAAGCACGTTGTCCAGACCGAGCCGGGCACCGCCTTACTGTGAAAAACAGGAAGTTGTATATTCCTCTGAGAAGGTCCCGGAGCCTACGGCAACAGCAGAACCCCACCGGCTCAGGAGATGCCAAGACAGCTGCCGCTTCCCAGCCCACTGGCCTGTGAGACCTAACGGCACGAGCATTCTCAGGGGCACAGACTGCTTAGGGCGTCCGTAAAGTTTGCCAGCGTAAGAACAAATGTTAAGGCCAGAGACACGGAGCCCAGGGGCTTCCACAGTGATTCTGCTCCCTCGGTCATCCCACGAGCTGGGAAGGCTTTGTGTCAGGAGGAGGGCAGGGCCGGGTGCGGGCTAGTGGGGGTGGGCAGTCAACCAGCCGCAGGACGTGCGTGCGGGGCGGCACCCTGAGGTGCAAGTGGCCGTGACTGAGGGCTGAGGGCCCGAGCTGCACCTGTGCGTTCGCTCGCTAGGGAGCGGGGCGTGAGCTCAGGCCCGCCGGGCAGCGTCCCCACAGGAGCTGAGGACCCGCTGGAGACGGTCCCTGAGGAGAGCCCGGTGCCGTCTCGGAGGCAGTCAGAGCACAGCACAGAGCGGAGGCCTCTGCAAGTCTGTGTTTGAACTAAACATTTGTACTTGAATTAAGCCCGTTAGCAGTGGCGATCAGGCCTTCAGAAGAACCGGAAGTCTGAGCACGCTGCAGGGTCGCCCACGTGACTGAAGGGAGCCTGGACCAGAGTTCTGCCCACTCGGAGCCGGGCGGCGGAGGAGCCCGGAAGAGCTGTCAGATTGTCCCGTCTAAGAATCTTCACCTGGAACCCAGCTTGGCCAATCAGTCCTGTGCAGCCGGCAGCCAGGGCCCAGGACTGTGAGCACCCAAAGAGCCACAGTACGGCCACCTTAGGAAATTTGGGGGCCACCGGTCAGGGCGGTCCTCAGGCCTGCTGGCGGGGCTCTGGCACGGACTCCAGGTGCGGCGGGGCGCGCCCCGCTCTGACTGCAGGGCCGTGTGGCGTCCCCAGCAGGCCCACAGCAGGAAGTCAGGACGGTCCCAGCAGCAGGTTGGCGTCAGCTCCACAGCTACACGGGAGAGTAGGGACAAGGTGGCCCATCCAGGGCCTCAGAACTTGACATGGCGCCTAGACACCCCAGGGTCAGTGAAGGAGCCTCACCCCAAGGGTCCCGCCGGGCACGCTGCCTGCCAAATCCGCCCTCAGCGGCCTGCGGAGCTCCAGGCGCCACTCTGGTGGGTAATGCGGTGCCCGCGGTAATCACGCCAGGGTGACCGTGCGCCTTTGTTCACGCAGCAGGGAGAGCAGACGTCGGCCAGAGCAGGAGAAGAAAGGCCAGAGGACGGGTCTGCTGAGCCAGCCTCCAGGAGCCTGGACGGGCACGAAGCTGCGGGAGGGGGTTGTGTGCGTGCGCGTGGGGGTCAGCCCGTCGGCCAGCACCGGGCAGGTCCTCATCACAGATCCTCCGGGCTCCTCTGCCCACCCCCACGGTCCTGACGTCGTCACAGGGAAAATCGGGCTTGCACTGGGATGATCAGCTCGTGGAGGTGGAATAAGGGACAGAAGATGGTTTTTCCAACTTTAAGGTAAATTAAAATTACACTTGGAAGATGGTGCGAGGAAGCTGGAAACTAGTGCGTGTGACTGTGTGGACACGGCAGAATACAGCAGGTGGAATGGCTGGCAGAGACTGGTCTGAGAACAACAGCTTCAGGGCCCCGCGTGTCCCTATGACAGGGTCCCTCGGAGGAGCAGGTGTGAGGAGCAGGGCCGGGTGCCCGGACAGGAAGGGCGGCAGGCGGGCGGGCAGGGAGTCCACTTGTCCGGCCTCCCCGTGAATTCGTCAGCACCTTCTCGCCCTGCTGCCCACCCTCCGGCCCCCGCGCTGGGGACTGAAGGTTCGCTTGCATAACAGGTACCAGCAGGCATTTCCCCTCCTGGGACAGGATATCCCGGCGCCCTTCAGTCTCTCCCTGACTGTTTAAAGCAGACCGGAGCACAGGAAAAAACCTAACTCTAAAATTAGCAGCGTGGTGGAAGAAAGACACGCGGCTGCATTCTGTACTGTTTGTCAATGAAACACGTCTAAACACGGCCAAGTGCATTTCCTTTCTGGGCAAAAGAGACCTGTGGGAGTGATGGTGGGTCGGCTCCGGGAGAAGCCTGCAGAGCCTGCGCTCCTGGCTTTTACCGGCAGCCTTTGTAGGTCCAAGGGTCTGTGAGCGGAGCCAGCACCGATCTGGGGACAGCCAGGAGAGAGCACCCCTGTCCCACGGCCAGGAGGGGCCCCAGGGTGCCCGGGGCTGCCGCCACACAGCCCACATTTCCTTCGCAGGGCTCCCCAGTCTCCACATGTTCAGCACACGTGTGATTTGGAAGCAACACTGTCTTGTTCTGGAATGAGGTTTGCAGCAAGGAAGGTGTCCGTTTGACACCAAAGCCACGCTCTCTCTCCCAATAACTCGAAGTAGGAAATGCCGTGGTCCATTTGTTCCCCGCAAGGAGTTATTGTCAGGATCACGAGCTGTTCCATTCATTTCTTCAGTGCCTGGATATCTGTTCCTAATCTTCCACTTCCTTCCGGAAGGGATGGAGTTTCAGATAAGCCCATGCGATAGAAGTGGGCAGCCTCAGTGAGGCCGAGGACCCCATTTCTGCCTTATGGCCCTAAGGTCAGCAGAGGGCAGAGGAGTGATTTTTCTGAACGGTCACTGTCCTCTGGGACGTCCGTGTTTTTACCCAGCTCCATGGACAAGGGAAGGAGGCTGAGGGGGTCAGAGATCGCATCTCACCCATCTCTTTGCTTCTCAAGACCAGCCTGGCGGGGACAGACAGAGGTACCAGCCCCAGTTCCCATGGATCGCAGGTGACAGGGCTAAGGCACATGGCCAACTGCCTCAGCCCCAGAGCTACTCTTCCCTGGAAACCGCCTGGTCAGCCCTTGCCATTCCTGGGCCCTGCGGGTGACCCGGCTGTGGGGAAGTGACTGGTCCAGGACCACCCGCCTTCTATTAAAAGGCACAGGAAGGCCTGTTTCCAATTCCTGATTCCCACCCAGGTCACTTTCCAGCATGTGAATTCCTGCCAGTCTGTCAGCCTCATTCTCCAGAAAGATAAGGGCCGGGGGCCATTATTCCCGGAGTGATTCACTTCGGACTTCCTGCCGTGTCTTTACTGGGGCTCCTGGAACTGTACCTTCGGTGCTGGGGCGTGCCGCCGCTCTCCACCGGCGGGAAGGCAGCTGGGGCGGCTCATCACGTCCCCACACCCCGGCCCACGTCACCCTTCCGCAGGCCCTCCGCTCAGATGTTCCCAGTGGGCAGCAGAAAACCTGAACGTCCCCAGGTGTCCACGCTCATTAAACCCGAGCCGGGGGGGAAGGAGGCGAGGGGGAGGGGCAGCCAGCAGAGAAGTCCCTCTGCTCCATGGGGTCACGTGGAGGGCTTCTGTGGCTTCCGTGGCCACTTGTGCACAACTTCCCGAAACAGTCTGGCCGTCGTTTACCCCGCCGCCGCCACCATTCTCAGCCTTTCAGGCCCGTGGGTGTGCCCGCGTCCTTTCTCCGTTCACCCTGCAGCCGCCTCGCAAGGCCCGGCCGGCGTGGCGTCTCACTCCTGTTGGGGGCAGGGGCCGCTGTGTGTGAGAGCCACGACAGGGCGTGCGCTCAGGTGCAAACGCGTCCTTGGTGCTTTGTGCTGCTCACGAGGGAGAGCCCGCCCCTGGCCCCGGCCAGGTCCCCGGAGGCTGCGCGGGTCACGGAGCGTGCAGATGAGCCCAGCCAGAGCCTCGTGCTCGGCCTGACCTCCCCGATCACATGGCGTTAGTGGGGGAGGCGGCGAGGAGGTGGCCCGTGGCAGCTGCCGCATCGTCACAGCAGGGGCTTCAGCGAGGCCAGCAGCCACGCCGCTGCAGACGGGCAAAGAACGTAGCAGATGCTGCAAACTTCAGAGAGCCAGCCCGGGAGCCTCAAGTGCCTGTCCCCAGAGCACCCCGTCTTACAGCAGGAGAGCGTGGGAGCGCGGGGGCAGCCGGAAGCACACAGCAGAGCTCGCCGCAACCTCAGCGCCCTCCCCTGTGTTTCTGTCTCGCTTCTGCCCCCGGGGAGAGGTGGGAGGGGGACCCACGGGGGTCGCGGTGATGTGAGAGGACCGCAGCGGGCCCGCCAGCCCCACACGGCTGAGAGTGCGGCCGCCCTGCCTGCCCGGGGCCCCGGGGTACTCACTCGCCAGCTGGAACGCGGCAGCCATGGCCTCCTCCCAGCACTGTGACTCAGGCGACATCAGGGACAGGCCCGTCAGCCCCAAGGCGAAGGTGAGCTGTCCCGCAGCGAGCGCGGCCGTGGCCACCAGGTTGCAGGCGCGCATCATGTCGAACTGCACTGTGAGAGGACGGGGAACAAGACAGGTGGTTGGCTTGGACTGGCTCCCGCCTCTGTCTGCTCCCGGGGCCTCACCGACCCGCCATCCCCGGCCCCTCGCGCTCTAGCTCCCATGCGCTGTCACAAGAGGTCCACGGAGGGACACAGCTTCCGCACGTGTGGGCAGGAGCATGCTCCCCGGGAAGTCGGGCCCCTCCCCACGATGCCCCTGCCCTGAGAGCAGAGAGGACCGTGGCTGTCCAGGCCCTGCCCCACCAGGCCCCAGCCTGCCACTGTGTCTGTGACCGTGGCCCACAGGTGGGCAGGTGGCCTTTGTATGTAGCGCCTGGAGGGAGCCGAGACGTTAGGCCACTGCCTGCCCCAGGTCCGGCTGCCCCTGCCCATCACGTGTCGAGCAGCTTCCTCCTCCCCGTTGTCTGTCGGAGGCTGAGGGCTCCTGCCCCCTGCAGATCCCAGGCCTGTCCCTGAGGCCAGCACAGACACGGGCAGGGCCGGAGGAGCCGAGGCCTGGCCGCTGGGAAGTCAGGGTGGCCCTGAGGGCAGAGGGGCTGCTGGAGGATGACCGCCCCCACCCGTCGACCTTCCTCATCGTGCTGAATCGCTGAATCAGCAGCCGCTTTTGCCCTGGCTGGCGGCGTAGATGAGCCACGTGGACGGTGAGCGCGGCCAGTTCTACCCTCTGACTTTTCTCCCCGACGCCACTCTCTTGCCCGGGCTGGGAGCGCACGCTCTGCTCGTCAGGGCAGCTGCACAGTGTCCCTGCCGTTGCTAGACTCCCTCACGCTCCTCTGAGTCAGTAAGCACCCGGGGTGCCAACGGCGGGGCCAGGCGAGTGCGGGCTGCTGGTGCCGGGGCGGTAGTGGGGCCTGGTGGAGAGGCACCAGCACCCACATTTCCTCGCCTCCCCAGGCCAGAGGTAGCTGCTCAGGCTGAGAGCCAAGCTTCAGACCAATATGCCTGAACCTTCCTGGCTGCCCACACAGTCTCCACGGCGGAACCCACGGCACAGCCAGCCTGACCAGTGGCCGCATATGCGTGCCAGACACCAAACTGGTCCTGCTGTCAGGACAGATCGGGCTCCAGGCCGGCCCTTCCTGTGTGCTAAAGACTGGCCGACCTGCCTCCCCGCGGAGGCCCTGCTTTTCGTGTGCTCTTCTGGGGTCTTCACGCCCTGTGTTCTTCGAAGTTAGTTTTACCAACACGTGACCACGCAGAGGTTCTACCCTCAGAGGTGCTCGGATCTGGGAGGTGGTGTGACCTCAGAGATGATGGGCAGTGAACACAGTGGGCGCTCGGGTTCAGAGCCAGCCCAGGGAACTGTGGGCTTCCCCGGCACAGCCTCGCGTGCCGGGCAAGGAAAGTCTGTGGTGCACACTCACACGGAGGGGAGCAGCCTGCCCTCCTGCACCCTCCACCCAGCTCTCTGTCCTTCCTGGGACTCCGAGAGCACAGATCAAACAGCACACCCTGGCCACCCACGGCCCCCCGTGGCATCCTCACCCCATCAGCCTCTGGCCTTGTGGATGTGGAAATGTGGGAGGGGGAGGGATACAGCAGTATCCCACAGACCCGCCACCTGCCTGAAAAGGTTGCCTTGCAGGCCACACTCCCTCCGCCAGCCACCTGGAGGGGACCTTCAAGTGGGGAGGGGTGCACCGGGCACTGTCGTCACCATGTGCGTAGCCTGGGCAGCGGCACCCTGCAAGGACGTGGCACGAGGGTCTGCGCACACCATCGCACCCCAGCCGCAGTGCCCTCTGTCTGCCTCGGTGGTGAGACTCCTCGCCCGCTGGGGTCAGAGAGCGGTGACCCCCTCTGGACAGGGTGCCCCAGGTTTAACTATGTGCCTACTCACCCCTTCCTCGCTTTAGAAAAGGAGGTTAGGGGGCCTGACAATGTCTGGAATCTGGAACGACAAGAAACGCCCGGAGAGCAAGTCCGGCCAGGACTCATCCCTGCCGAGTCCCCACTGCTTCTTCCAGTGAGGAAAGCCCCCCGAGCAGGGGTAACCGTCACGACTGCCGCACACAGCCCAGCGAGGTGGAGGGAAGGAAGAGCCCCCGGTTCTGGAGGACAGGGCCCCACGTGCCATGTCACTCAGGAACCCTGCACACGGTCCCCTGACGGAGTCCAGGACGTCAGGTGGGGCCGCCTCACCACGTGTGCCCCATGAGCACGGGTGTCTTGGACCCTGGGCTCTGCAGGGTGTTGCCAGGACCCTGGGAGCAGAGCAGACCAGCATGACGCCCATCCCTGAGCTGCCGCCACACCCCCCCACCTGCCGCAACGTCTAGAGTCTCTAGGACGGCCTGACTCTGCGCCTGAGACGGGGAGCTTGGGATGGATCCAGTCAGGCCTGCGGCCACCAACGCCAAACTCTCACAGATCGGGATGACTGCGGAGCCTGTGGCGGGGCGCGGTGCTCGGTGCTGAGCCAGCGTGCATCTGAGCACAGCGCCAGCCGCCCCCTCCTCCCCCGTCCCTGCACCCAGTGCAGTGTTCCCTGGGGTCCTGAGCCTGGGAGCTCGGAAACCAGGTGCTGGGAGGCTGCTCGCAGATGAGCCGGCTCGCTGCTCCGGCCGCCCTGCAGCCCGAGCACACGGATCCAGTGAGAAGTGCGTCAGGGACCCAGCGTCCCTCACAAGAACCTTCTGTGGTGTCTCCCTGGCTTGGGGCACACATTGGTGCTCAGAGGTTAAGGCTCAGCCGCCACAGACGCGTTACCAGGGGCGAGGCTGTTGTAGAAGTCCCACAAGGAGCTTATCAAGTCAGGGAGGGACAGCAGGCGGCTGGCCAGGTGGGCAGGGGGTCTGGAGGCAGAGCACACCCCCCCCCCCCCGTGTACCCTCCTGGCCTCGGCAAGGTCACAGAGGGTGTGGATGCCCAGGGAGGGCACCTGCTCGACCCTGAGGTCCAGGCTGGGAGTGCTCTGTGGGCCGGGCGGCGCAGAGCCCACACTAGAGCCGCAGGGTCGCTGGCTCGCAGGACTCCTCAGGACAGCCCCAGGACCCGGCGAGTCCCCTGGAACCCAAGGTCAGCTGCACTGAATTCCGAGAGTCTGTGGAAAAGTTTGAAAATCCTGTGTGTCAGGGAGGTGGGAGGGGCTGACGGACCCTCAGGCTGCGTGGCAGAGGGCTCTGAGTGGACAGACTGGGCTTGCCCTCCCCCCCAGGGACCTCGGCCGAGCACGTGTCTCTTGCAGCCTCCATCTCTTTGTGGACTTGGATACCAGCCCTGCCGCACTTCCTCGAGTACCAGGGCTCCAAGCACGTGGCAGGTGGGGACATTCCTACGCCGAGCACAGAGCTCCTCGCGTGCTCCTTGAGGACTTGTCGGACGCAGAGCAGTTAGCAAAGGCCCAGCCAAGGCCTCGTGCTCTCAAGAGGGCGAGCTCTGCCTCCTGCCCATCTACGAGCGAGACCCTCGTCAACAGCTTGGAAGAGTCAGCTCGGGAGACCTCTGCCTGTCAGCGGCTGTGACCTCATAGATGACACATTAGGTGACCAATGTCTCATTGCGAGCCTTCCCACCCACACACTTGGACCTGACCCCACGGTCAAAGTCCAGTCCCCACCTTCCAGAGCAGTAAACAGACCCCACTGCCAGCAACCGGCCAGGGTCAGGACAAGACAGCAAGGGGCTCTCCTCTCAAGAGCCGTGGCCGTGGCCCCTTCTCTGCCCCTGTGGCTGGTCTCCCAGAAGTCCTGCCTCAATGACCCCGACAGCTGTGGAATGAAGTCAGAACTCAGCCACGTGTTTTTAAGCTCCTTGTTTATTTTATTCCCTAACGAGGTGTATTTTCCACCAAGAAAAGTGGGTCCTTCTTGGTCTGGTTAATGTGTCTGCCCTTTCCCCGCGCGTGGAGGCAGAGAAAATCCCCACCTCCCCACAGGAAGAATTCTGTCCTCGAGGAGCGGGGGGGCAGGTATGGGCCCCACCGGGAGGGTGGGTTCAGAGCTCCGGGCTCGCCCGGGTTGCCCGTCACCAAACGCATGCCCCACGCCCACCTCGAGCCATCAGAGCTCGCGGGTCCTGACCGCCCTAAAGGAGGCACAAAGATAAGCAGACTTACGTTTGACGGTGCCTCGGGCCTCCTGGAAGCCTGCCGCCTCAGAGCCCCAGCCCACAGCTTCACAGTCCCGTGCGTCCGTCTGCCCCGGCCGCAGCCCAGCGCTCGGTCCTCCCCGGGCCCTGTCCGCCAGCCAGCAGGACTTCCACAGCCCCACGCTCCGCTTGCGCCCGTCCTCCAGCGTCTGGTACACCCAGTTGGGGGTGAAGGCCGCCACGTTGTTGAGGACAAGGGAGACCAGGGCCACTAGCACTGCCGTGGCCACCAGTTTCTGGACAGTCATCGCCGACTGCCAGTGCTGTCCGCCGGTCGTGGAGAAAGTCCCAGGCCTGCTCAGCTGCTGTGGCCAGGGAGAGCCGAGACCAGCTAGGGGCTGCTAGAGGACATCAGCGCTCATTCTTCGCAGCATGGGGAAGGCCCGTGTGACAGGTGCAGTGAGCTCACCTCGGGCCCTCCTTACCCTCCCTCCTGCACCTGGAGCAGGGCCAGGCCTGAGCTGCAGCCGGCCTCTCGGCCCATCCCCGGGAGGAAGCCGGGGCACCCGCGAGAGTCCAGAGTCGTGCGCGCGCCGTCTTCCTGGGAGGCAAGGCCTCTTCTTCCCACACGAAACCGGAGAGGTGGGTGGCAACGTGGGGGTCTGTCCCGCCTCACTCCGGAGAACCAGCTCCACACAGAGGAGCCAGCAGCCAGGCTCGGAGCAGGGCCGAGGCTAGCTGTGCCGGGAGCCGTTCTGCCTCTCGCCGCGTGCGACCCTGCCCCGTGCCTCTGCCACAAAACAGTCCTGGAAGGCAGCGCGCCTGCGGCGGGGAAGTGCGTGTGCGCGTGTGTCTGTGTCTGTGTGTGTGCGCGCGTGTGCCCCCGCCCCCCCACCCCCGCCACTCCGCAGAGAGGAAATGGTTGTTTTTGAGGCTGTTTTTTGTGAGCTGGATGGAGGGCGTAGCCAACTGCAACAAATAGCGGCCAGGCCATGGCAGCCAGACACTAACAGGATGTGTTTCCTGATAGGAAAGCAGGGCGGCCTTCTCAGCTCCTGCTCTGGGACCCTCCTCCCCTGCCCTCCCCACCTTCCTTTCCTAAAGGGAAGGCCCGGGTGCCTGCTCAGAGCAGACCCATGGTCCCACCTGTCTGTCTCACACCCCACCAGCCCCGCGCTCAGGTACTCCAGAGCAGCCACGGAGGCAGGTGGTCCCCACGGGGCACGCTCCTGCCCTGGGCCCGGCGCCTGGGTGGGCAGGGCGTGGGTGGCCGGTCACCCACAGCCATCTCGTGGTTCTCCCGGCATGTAGGTGCCCCAGGGCCTGCCCTTGTCACAGGGGTTCACGGACAGTGGATGACATGGCCGGGCACAGTGTAGAGACCCCCACTTGCCACCCAGATGGGTGGATTGGGGACCACATCCACAGAACAGGCAGGCGAGAGCGTGGTCCTGGAGGGAGGTGCGGGGGGCGGGTCCTGGCCCCGCAGTGCAGGTCCCCCAGCGAGGCCTGAGGGCGGAGGGACTGGGGTTTGTGGCCTGGGCTGTGATTGTGCTGACCGCGTATCCGATGAGGGAGCTCAGTCCCGTTTGCATGTGCGGACACGCAGTTCAGGAGTGGCGCTGACCCTCTGAGACGCCACACCCAGCTGGGGTCCTGAAGCGGCTGTGCACGGAGAGGAAGGCCGCTGCACACCCGCTTCTAGCATGCGCGCCCCGGGTGCTGTCCGGTCAGAGCCTCGGGCTCCGAGCTGCCCGCTCGCTATCTGGCGCCCTCATCACAGGCGAGGAGGCTGGGGTGCAGGCAGGCCACACACCTGCCCAGGTGACAGAGGCAGCAAGATGTGCCCGGCTTAGGGGGACTGGCCTGGTCCCCTCGGCTTGCCTGCCCCCCACTCACCTCCTGCTTCCGGAGCTACGGGGAGCTCCAGCGCCTCTGACACAGCAGCCCCTAGTGTGCCTTGGAAGCCTCAGCCCCTGTTACTTTGTAGGTTTTTTCATTTGGGGGGGTTGGTTCTTAGTTTTACAGCTCATTCAGTGGCAACTGGTAATTGTTAAGTGGGCAGGGGTTACCTTCAAAAATCACTAACATTCGCTGAGCTGTCATCTCTCAAGGGTGATCAGACGCCGGGAGTCGCACACATAAGGTCCGTTAGAGGGGCACCTGGGTGGCTCTGTGGGTTGAGCATCCAACGCTTGGTTTCTACTCAGGTTGTGGTCGTGGGGTCGTGGGATCGAGCCCTGCATCGGGTTCTGTGCACAGTGCAGAGTCCGCTTGAATTCTTAACCCACCGCCTCCTCTGCCCCTCCCCCCTGCTCGGGCATGTGCACATGCTGTTTCTCTCTCACATTCATAAAATCTTTAAAAAAAGAGATGCATCGAATACATCAGACTTGGTCTATCACCAGCCTTGATCAAACCAGACCAGGGAAGGAACCAGGTCTGGGGACACATGCGTGGTCTTAACATAGCCAGTTTTTAGCCTGTCCTGATTATTACAAAAGCAAAACAGCAAAAATATTCCCTGGCCCCCATTACTTGGGATCACATGTCTGTAGGGGGCTCTGCACCTGCTTCGGGCAAGGCACGGCCCCCCACACCACCAAGCCTATGTCCCTGTAAGACAGGGGTCTTTGGGGAGTCGTCTGCCCTTCCACTCCATGAGGGTTTGGCCTTCTTCAGCATTTCTCCCAGCAGACTTTGTAGCAAATGCATCAACTGAGTTCTTGCCCCTGTCTTCTCTCCTTGGCCTGTGTCCTGTCCCCCCATCTCTGCTCCAGCCTCCTAGGGATTCCAGGGGGCCCCCATGGCTCTCTGCCACGGCCCCCTTCTCCCAGGAGGACTAGGACCACTCAAGAGTCCCTAGGGACACAGTGTAGTGCGTCGCCTCCACAAGGAGGCTCTTCCAACACTTCTTTTTGGAGGGATCAGTCCCCCCACCTTATTTATTTAAGTCATTTGTCCCTGGGTGGTCTTTGATGGCTGCTGGATCCACTATCAGCTCCCCTACCAGCTGGTGCCCACGATCCCGATTCTAGCTGGGAGCCACAGGCCTAGGTACAGAATATGAGTTAAGAGTTACCCTGGGGCGACACCTGAGTGGCTCAATGGGTTAAGCCTCTGCCTTAGGCTCAGGTCATGATCCCAGGGTCCTGGGGTTGAGCCCTACATAGGGCTCTCTCCTCAGTAGGGAGCCTGCTTCCCTTTCCCTCTCTCTGCAGATCTCTGTCAAATAAATAGAATCTTAAAAAAAAAAAAAAAAAGTTATCCTGGGCCCCACCCTGACACCCAGACCTCCCAAGGACTGGTCCTTCCTGTCCTCCTGAGTTGCCCATGCTGGGCACGGGGGTTGTGGGGGGGGGGGTTGGTGCCTGCCCTGTTCCTGCACATGATGGCTGGGTGGGCAGGATCTTCGTCTTGGAGCGGGGAAGCTTGGGCCGTGTGGTGGGCCGGGAGGCCCTGAACCCCGCAAGCCTGAGTGGCAGGCCTGAGAAGGGGTGCCTGTGTGCCCAGTTCCAGCAGCTTTCAAGAAAGCTTTTCCAGAAAGGGGGGCCGTCTTCAGGCAGGGCCCCTGGGCAGCCATGTGCTCTGGCGTCTGCGCCTCTCGTGCTGATGCGGTGCAGATGGGAGGACGGCGGGCAGGGCGGCAGGAAGTGCCGGAGCTGTGGGGGGCTGGCAGCTGTTCCAAACCCAGAGCTCCTCGTCCTGCGTCCTGGTCCTGCGTTGAGGCTGGTGGCAGAGCTCGCAGGCCACGGGCTCGGCCCAGCGGGAGGGCCTGCCCCTGCCACTCTTCCAGGGCTCGCTTCCCACCCCCAAGCTCGGCGGGGGGCCCCTGGTGGCCAGGCTCAGAGCCCGGCGTGGGAGCAGCCTGGCCTCCAGCGACCTGTCCCACTCGTGCACACAGCAGACCCAGCAGCACTAGCCCAGGGAGGCACAGGGAACCGGGTCAGGGAAGGGCTCTGGGACAGCTGCGTGTTCCTTGGCTTACTCGGTGTTTCCCCTTGAACGGCAGAGATCAGCCACAGCTGCGTTTTCTGGACGCAGCAGAGGGTCGGGGAGAGAGTCCCCGATACCCTGGGGTGTGGAGTATCTTGGAAAAGGCTCCCACGTGGAATGCATTTGGAGAAGGGAAGGGCTTGTGTCTGGCCAGCGCAGCCCTTGCTGCATGGAGCCCCGTGGGGGCCCGGGAGCACGAGGACGGAGTCCAGGGGACATGCAGGATCGTCTTCAGGACCCCCACCTCCGTTCAGCCCGAGCCCACCAACAAATCCCACACTGGGCCTCGCGCATTGGTTCTCAGGGACCTCGTGGCCAGGGCTCCACAGCATCTTCTCCCTGTGTTTCCCTGCGTAGGGCAGCTTGGCCGCCTCCACGGCTCGGCAGAGGGTGCAGGCAGGTGTGGCACCAAGCAGGCGGCCTTCATGGTAGGGAGGAAAGCGGGTGTGTGGGAGGCCTGTCTGAGAGGGACTGACTTTAGCCTGGGGAGGGGTCAGAGCCACGTTGCTGTGCTGGTGAAGCCCGTTGGGTCTGCGTCTTGGGGCGGCAGCAGGGGCAGGGGCAGGGGTGCGAGGGCTGCGAGCTCACAGGACCGCCGCATCTCCGGCACAGTGAGGCGGTCTGGGAGAACATGGCGCGCATGTGCGTGAAGACCCAGAGGCTGGACGTCGCCAAGGTGTGCCTGGGGAACATGGGCCACGCGCGTGGAGCGCGGGCGCTGCGGGAGGCCGAGCGGGAGCCAGAGCCGGAGGCCAGGGTGGCCATGCTGGCCATCCAGCTAGGCATGCTGGTGAGTCGGGCGCTGCCCTAGCGCGGGCAGAGGGGGAGGTTGGCGGGGGGCAGGCACTGGCCTCACAGGGCAGGCCAGCGCATGTGGGTCTGGGCCATGCGGTAGCAAGGAACAGAAACCCCCTTGAAGGAGTTGGAGCCGGAAAGCAGAGTGAGGCCTCTTCCCTCTCCAGTGTCCTCCCCATCTCCTGCCCGTGCATGGGCTCACGGCACCGCGAGAACCTAGGGGACCAGGCAGGGAGGGGGCAGGCAGCCCGAGTCAGCTCCTTGTCCACAGGACGCTGCGGCAGGCAGGGTCTCCTCCCCAGCGTGCAGGGCAGCCCCCAGCCTTCCCGGCTGACGCCACAGGACGGAGTGCTGCGATGGCGTGTGGTGTCGCTGCCTGCGGGGGCCGCTGTCTGGGAGCGCGAGGGCTGATGCACGCTGTCCCATCTCCAGGAGGATGCCGAGCAGTTGTATAGGAAGTGCGGGCGCTACGACCTCGTGAACAAGCTGTACCAGGCCTCTGACCAGTGGCAGAAGGCCGTGGAGGTCGCGGAGCTCCACGACCGTATCCACCTACGGGCCACCTACTACAACTACGCCAGGCACCTGGAGGCCAGCGCTGACCGCAGTCTGGCCCTCAGCTAGTGAGCGCGGGGCCCCGTCCAGACTGAGCCGGGGAGGGCCCGCTTACTCCGGCTTCTTCCTCCGCCCCAGTGAGGCTGTAGTAGGAGCCCGTAGAGGAAGCTTCTTGATGAGGCACTGCCTCGGGGAAGGTGGTGGCCTCTGGGTGTACAGGGGGAGCTTGAGCTCGCTCTCACCAGAAGAACCTCAGACACCAGAAGAGCCTCCCAGCCCGCGCCAGGTTCTGGGTCTCCAGGCCCAGGGTCACGGGCTGTACCACCACAGCACCATGACCCGCTGGGCGCCGACATAAGGTGAGACCGTGGGGAGAAGCCGCTGTTTCTCTTCTCTCACAGCTACGAGAAGTCAGACACCCACCGCTTCGAGGTGCCCAGGAT